ACAGGAAAGCAACTCGTAAGCTCTTCGTTGACTTTAAAACTCAAACAATGAACCGTTCCTGCTAAAGGAAATGCCTCCCAACGGGTTTTTGGGCTTGTCTCTGCTCATAGGCCTATTGTGTTGACACTGGACGAATAAAGTAAGCGTTTAGTATCAGCCAGACAAAATACAGATGATCCTCGCAATTTTTACGTTACTGCTAATAAGCTTTCGTAGGGCGGTAGGTATCCAGCGCAAACGCTAATGGTCGCACATAAATATCGAGACTCTTCGTTAGAGGCGTTAAACATTGAGCCCTTGGGACTCGTTCTTTCTTTATTCGCTCAACGCGTACTCATTGCGCGCTACTCTCGGTACGGGAGCCCTCGGGCAGGTCCTCCGGCGAAGTGCAGCTTTCGTTAGGACCCCAAAAACATATTTAGCGGCAAAAAGAAGAAGCACGAATCTACAGAAAATCTGTTGGCATCTGCTTCCACGGCAGATCCGGAGATCCACGGCATACTTATGGATCGGCCGTTTCCTTTAACATTAAATGTACGAACAACAGCAACTTGAGTAGCAAATATGGGCGTCACCAGCCAGATAGTCTATGAGCAATGGAATGGTAGATCAGTAGAATCGTCGTCGTCGCCGCCTTAGGCGCTAGAAAGGAGCTTTTTGTAGGTTGTTGAGGTCTCAGAGGGAAGAAGTTGTTAAGCTTGACAGTTTGTTGTACGCTGTATGTTTGTTGTTGTTTTGGATGGGTTACTTGTTCGCTCTGAGCTATTCAAACAACAATAAGGGCCCAAATGTTTGTCGCAAACGCGCTTGCATTGCACTTATTTGATAAAGCTCCTTTCGAGATCACAACGCTTAGGTTCGATTGTATTTCGGACATTTCGGCCTGTGTTTCAAACATTTTACTTAGTGACCTTCCAGCCAAAGTTCCATGTAAGTCGGTGATACATATGATGATGTATGCTTCCTCTAGTCAGATAGGCAATATATTCCTGATATCACTATTGCCGATCTTGTTCAGTGCTGGCCACTCCGTTACTCTTGAAGTTTTGCTACGCACCCATGATACTAACGTAACTACTGCCATATTTTATAGCTGAACGAAGAGTCAGAAAGTACACGTCGGCTTACTTACGAGCATGTTATGCTAAAGGCACTTGGAAATTCTGAGAAGTTTTTTTTTAAAGAACAAACATAATAAGTGAACGGGTGAAATGGTGTGGCCCCGAGAGGTTTCGATCAGTCTAAGTGTTTGTAGAGGTTATTTTAGAAGCGGCTGTTGGACGCGTGCCTCGTGTACGTCGTGCTCTATGGTCGACGCGTGATGCATATTTTTCGAATGAGCACAGGGTGATGTACATATTTTATGAATATGGTTGTCATTTAATTAAATTAGAAGCGGAACCTTTCCCCCGTGGGAGTTCAGTAAACGTCCACCTGTCATTCTATTCAGAACTATCTGCCAAGTCTCATGTAACATGAAGATACAACATGGTAAGACAATCTGGTTTAAACATATGGCCCGAGATTGGACACAGTGCAAAACCATATTGTGCTGCTGTGCTCTCTACGGGTGTACATATACGTTCAAACATTTGCATTAGCCCCATCTAAAAAACATTCTGCGAATTCTGGTTAGCTGCGGACGGTAGCAGGCATGGTTTT